TAAAAAAAAAAACTTTTAACGTAAAAAAAGAGCAGAGAAAATACAACCACCCCAGGGACCAGGGATCGATGGTTGTAGCAATTGTACAATAAATTTAGCTTTGACATTCACGTTATTATATCGTTATTTAGCTTTTCTGTTGTTTTAGATTTTTATACATTCATGCTATTTCTTTCCCAACTAAACTTGAACCTCAGGAAGGAGAAAACCTGTCTCATACTTTTTTGTTTTCTCCCGTATCCCATTAGAGTACCTTCTTGGAACACAACAAATACTCCAGAAGTGTTTTTATTGATTCTAATGACATACAAATATTCCATGCATTTTCATAAATTCATAAAATCTTTTACATAATTGAGGGATGACATACTGGTTTCTTTAAATATCCATCTAATCTATATTTATTTCCTGGCTACACTACTCAGCCCTCGAAATGGATTCTAGTAATGACTGCTGGACCTAAAAAACAATGCTCACAACTTTTGATGGGCCAGTGTCTCCCCATCATCAGATCTTGGGGCTGTTACTCTGAGGGTAGGAATGGTCTATAAAACCTTTTGTTAGAGCTGTGATGTTACTGCAGACACCATACAGCTGAGTTTCTAAGCTTTTTGTGGACAATCAGAATGTTCTGCTTTTCTCATGAATTTGTTACTTAAAGTCCTGACACCATCAATTCACTCTATTCATCCAGAGATCTCTTACTTTTTAGCTTTTAGTAGGTGAGAAATAGTTCTGCCAATGCATTTGTCCTTGTTTTCCCCCTGAACGTCTTAGCAAAGCATGTATTCATCTTCACATCTTTTTTTTTCTTCTAAGAACACTTATAAACTTCCCTAACTTGAAAAGGGGTCAGACTGAAATTGGGCCTCCTACCAACAACAACAGACGAAAGGATCTCGAATTCACCCAGGAGCAAGGGAAACAAACAAAAAAAAAACACATACAGGGTGGGGCAAAAAGAAGGTCTACAGTTACGCGCAGGTTTACAGCTGTGAATAAAATGCGTATTCTTGTATTACGACTGTTTACGAATTATTGTATTATTTTTCCCGGACGAACCACTGTAAACCTCCTTTTGCCCCACCCTGCATTTCCTGGAATAAAGGACTCTCGTTCCAGAGCTGACTTTGACCTCGGTGATCAGTGAGGAGGGCCTGTGAAGGGTTTGGGGGTGAAAGGAGAGGCCACCACCCCTGCTTCCAACAGGATATTCCCATCCTATTTGGGCTCTGGGACTCTGCGAGCTCCTGTTTTTTGGGGGGTTGCTTCTTGAGTAATTCAGCATGTCTGATTCGCCCGCACAACACTCTCAGCCTGGTTTACCCTCCGGCCCGGGGCGCAGGGAAAGCACTTTGCGCCCGGGTGCAAGGCCTCCCGGCGAGCGGGGCGCAACAGGCTGGCGGCGCCGGCGCAGTGGGCACGCGGCGCGCGCTTCCCCCGACGGCCGCTAGTCGACGGCTTCTGCACCCCCAGCTCGCTCCCGTGCCCCCCGGCCGGGCCCTTCGCTGGCCATTCCGCTTCTCCCTCGCAACTCCGGCCCCCTTGCCGAGGTCTCGAGATGCCTGCACGTCTTCGTGGTCGTCAGCGACCCCCAGGCGAGTTGCAAAGACGAGGGATCGAATAAAAGTTTATCCGGAGGAAGGGACACGGAGGCGACGAGCCCGTACGCCCGCCCTCGGGAGTTTAAAGCTGCGGCTCGATACGTGCCAATTAAGGAATCAGGCGAAGGCTTCCGCAGGCGTCAGTGTCACTGTGATTTCCCTAACATGTGGTCACTCGGGCAATGTCTGTACTTGTAACCGTGCGAGTACGCGTGTGGCGCGAGGGTTCTTGGAGAAAGAGGGGCGCTCTCGGCGCGGCTCGGCTCTGCCCGCAACGAGGCGGCGTGAGGATGACGCCCCGAAACCGCCTCTCCGAGCCGGCGGCGTCCGCAGCGTCCCCGGGGGCACCTGGAAACGGGACACCGCAGGGCCCGGCGGGGCGGCCCCTTAGCCCCACTTCCCTGCGCGCCCGCAGGCGAGGACCTGGATGGCGTCACCCACGGCGGAGGGAACTGAGCGAGCCACCGAAGGCCGGGCTCGGGCCCTCCGGGTCCCCGAGTGCCCTGCCGCCCGAGGATACCCGCGGAACTCGGAGCGGCCAAGCCCCACGGCGTCTAAAAGTGTATTTATGGTTGTCACGGTGCACGCCGAGGAGCTCGCCCCGCAACCCCGGAGCGCGCGAGGCCTCGGAGCCTGGAAACAAGCCCCTCCCAGCGCAGCTGTCGCCGCCGCCTGCGGGCTCCTTTCACTTTCTCACGGCCAAGTCACCCAGAGGGGCGCCGCTGCCGCCACCGCCGCTGCGCCCGAGGACT